GAATTATCACGATTGGTAGATCAGAGTTCTGAATCAGATCCAGCTCCACCCGTGCCCAGCTATTGTCTATGCATCGTTACAACCAGAAGACAGCATTTTGAAAGAATTGCCCAAAAATAAAAAACCCAAATGAAATCCTGATTCTATGATCCAAATATTGTAGGCCTGATCACATGCTTGCAGACGAATTATGAGGTCACAGCATGAAAAAGATGCGAGTATGATCACACCTCTTTTCATACAAAAATAAAGTATTTAAGTAAAGTTTAGAGACTGCCACCAAATCAGTAATATGAGATGCATTCACCCTATTTCGTTTAAGGTGTAAAGGACTGATGGTAAAATTTCCCCACAATGATATGAGTTGAGCTGACGTTTTCATTCAATTTCACAGAGCCTTGCTTTCCCAAAAGTTGTTCTCATCCCGGCTGGAGTGGACTGCAGTTTCGACCTCGCATCGGTCTTATCAGCAGCCCCAGCGGGACTCGAACCGTGACAGTGTGCCATGTTAACCACTCGGCCACATTGTCACAAGTGCCCCTAAGTCCCAGATCAGATGTGAATTTCAAGGAAGGCCAGGCTTTTTGCCAATTCACATTATTTGTTGGAATTGTCGATGAAGCAGACGTATATTTGCTATAACAATCGACTACGTTACTTATTTTCCTATTTAAGTAGTGTTTTTAGACTACCAGTAAATCGGTAATATGAGATGTATTCACCCAATTTCATACAGGATGACCAGATTTGTAGTAAGTTGAATTTTCCCACAATGATATGAGTAAAGCTTATGTTTCCAGTAAATGTTACATAGCATTGCTTTCCCATAAGGTATTCTCATCCCAGCGGGAGTGAACTGCAGCTTCGAATTTGCCTCAACCGGCCCTATCAACACTCTCGGCGGGACTCGAACCATGCCGGTGCAGCCTATAACATGGACAAGTTGCCCACAAATCCAGACCACGACAAGGAAGAAGTGACTTTTAAGGAAGGCCAGGCCTTTTCCCAAAGCACATTCTATGGTGGGATTGCCGATGAAGTAAAGTTATATTTCCTATGACAATCAACTACACTTATACAAGTGGGCTGACCACGTTTTCGCAATTTGTTATTGTTGTCACGGCGACTTAGTCGAACGCACCTAGTCCGAAGTCGTCTGCCATAGTCGTTATCACAATTCCCAGCATCAAACCGTGGCATTGTACATTCTCTGACGCTGGAAATTATAATCGTATGAGAGTAGAGTTTCGAGACTACCACTCAATCAGTGTAGTGACATGTATTCACCCTATTTCGTCTGAGGTGATGAAGGACTGGTAGAAGAAGAATTTTCCCACAATCATATGAATTGAGCTGACGTTTTTATTCAATTTCACATAGCCTTGCTTTCACAAAAGTTGTTCTCATCCAGCACCAGTGGACTGCAGTTTAGACCTCGCATCGGTCTTATCAAAA